ATACCCGTTGCGGGCACAGCACAGATAGCTTATTGTGTAGCTTTGTGCTTAATTCCAAACAAAAAAAGGAAATAGTCGAGGAGATCTATTGGTGGCTTCACCATTGGTAACATTCTAGAAGTGGTCTCTCTAAGGTCAAGCGATGGGCTGTTCTTCTTGAAGTCCTTCCAAAGACAATCACGAGGGATGACCCTTAATTTGGACAATCTATTCTTGTGGATTTTGTTCTGTTCCACTATAGGTCGGCTGTTTTCATTACCATCTTTTTGTTACTTGAAGTCCAACTTCTGGTGGTGTGATTGCTTAGAGTGCTTAGGGATTTTCTGGTTGTGTAAACTGTGAAGCTATTTGAAGCTCTAACTTTACATCTATTTCTCCGCTTGAAGTCATTTATTTCAATTACCCACACACCTCTCACTTCCAACAGTAAGAGTGACTCGAACCTTTCCTCTTGTTGGAACTTTCTGACCACTGACTGTCCGTATAAATCCAACTCCTTCCTTCACCTTTGGAGGTAAGTTCCCACCGTTCACCACCAAATCAGGTTAAATAATGGTAGCTGTAAAACCAGTGTCATTCAACATACTGCAAAATATCCCATCAATAAACCTGTTGACTCATCAAAAAGGTTCTTTAAGTATTATATATATATAAGGATGGATAGAATATTATTATCCTCAAAGTATTGTTTCCTTGGTTTATTATCAACGACTGATTAATCAAAGTATCGAATGTATTGTCCTACACTTATCGCAGTTTCCTTCACATATCATTCTTTGGGAGCAGTTTCTAGCAATATGTCTTTTTAAATTACAGTTGAAACACCTTCTGTTCAATGGTTTACTTTTTTTTTCCATTTTGAGTTAAAAGTTGTCAAATGAATCCTTTGATTCCTTTTAGACTTCCCTCAGAGGAAGTTGATGTTGACAAACTACATGATATGACGATTCCATAATTCACGTTGTTTATTTGCCACTTTAACTGATTTACGTTGCATCCCCAACTGGACAGCTTCCTTTAAAGATGTACATTTATTTGCTTTAGCCTAATTCATATGTCTCATCCACTATGACATCTATAAATTAGTCAATCGCCAACGAATCCATCATTTAGATAATTGGGTAAGCATTTCAATATCTTTCGCAAGTTTGGCTCAGTTCTTATTCTTCCTTCTTACTCTTGCTCCTAATCTTTGCTTTCGAAACCTCCTTCTGATGTAACGCTCCAAATATGTGGGATAAGGCAGCCATAAATTTTTTCTAGTTGTTACAGCTCTTAGCTGGAAGACTGCTTAAAGTTGTTTAGGTTGTTACTTTTAAATAGGTTGTCAGATAAACGGCTTGTTGTTCGCTATTCCACCCATTCACTTAATAAAAACAACAACAACAGATCAAGATAGAAAAATTCTACAGTATTTTTCAGTAATAATCTATTGGTTTCTCAACTGGACGATGTTGTAAAACTAACCAGTTAAATTCTGGAACCTTGATGGAGTAGTGCTAGAGTTCGAGTAATCCACAAAAGCTCCGTGGTCATAGATGGCACAGCAGTAGTGTGAACCAAATGTGTTCTCCTGATCCGTATGTCATTGTTAATGGAGTTATTGGGAAGAAGCGGAAAGATATATGGGTTGGTTTAGTCCTTACATTTACAAATTCATTTTTCAGATGTTTTATTCTATCATTGATGCTCTTTTCTATCTTGTTGATTTTGCTACTATACTCTTTATGCATTTCGTGTTATTGTTGTTTCGTGTTGTACTTTGTTTTGAACTTCGTTTATCTTCTTTTGTACTTCACTAATATCTTTTTGTGCAAATTTAGTTTTACTGTTATAATCTCTTTTTGTACTTCCAATAGCTTCTTTGATCTTGTCTTCAGTCAACTTTACGTTTTCATAATTCTCTCCCCGCTCTCCCCTAGTGGCTCGGTAGCAAGTCTGACGGATTATAACGCAAGAACCAGGTTTCGATACTCGTGGTAAACTCAGCACAGATAGTCCATTTTGTAGCTTTGCGCCTAACAACAAACAAACAAACATAATTCTTATTTAAATATTATATCTTTTTATTTTAAGTCCTGTCTTAAATTCCTGTTTCTTATGTCTTTATCTTCTTTTAGTTATATATACCTTTCTACTTGGTCATTTTTAATTTCCTGTCTCTGTCTTTTCATTATCTGCCTATTTCTTTTTGGTCTTTTTTCATTTCCTGTTCTTTTTCTTCTTGCTCTTCGTTTAATATTCTATTTCTTTTTCCTTGGCTAGCTTTCCACAGTTTAATAATGTGATTCCTGGTATGACACTTTTTTATTGTAAAGTAATTGTAACTGGTGC